CAATTCCGCTAACAAGTTGTTGTTTGACAAAGATAATTGTTGTACGGTGCACTCCCGATTGCACACTGGGCATCTATTTGAATCAAGTATATAATCCCTGATGCACTGATGATGGAATGTATGACCGCATGGGGTGGATGATGTTAAATCGTTTGCGATCAATGGTTGTGTACAAATCGTACATGATGTAATCTCGCCGCCTACTGCGGCTGGTAGATCAAGATTGCTGTGACGCAATGACATATCGACAAAATACTAAATGCTTTGTGTTTGTTATTTACGAATTTAATTGGTCCGTGATTGATATTACTACAATGCTTGCTCGCTATATGAATTCAACTTCCTAATGTTTCTTGACTGCTTGCCAAAGTAAACTAAAAATAACAAAAAAAATATTTTGAAGGCTTGTTCTTTTGAATTACGCTTTCTGAACCGGTCAAAGATCGAATTTCCTCCAACACTTTGCAGTTCCGTTGGACAGATGGTCGTAATCTAAAAACAAGTTTACCGAAATTCCGTAGAATTGAGATATCCAGTAAACTGTTGGTTCCGGTCGATTATTCCGTACAAAGCTCGAAATACAATCGCGATTCCTAGACACCTGATTTACCGTCATCCAAATCTACAAATATTTTCTAATTGTGTTTACTTCCTAACTCTACAAGCTTACATGGTCCCTTGAACTGAATGGTCGACCCAATCCGTAGATTCTCGAATCGCGGTCGCTGTTCCGGCTTCGAATTACAAGTGATCATTAATTAAACTGAGGGAAAGAAAATAAACGTCAGCGGACTCTAACACAAATCTATTTGAAAAGTAATAAAGCAATACGTGAAGCTATACCTCCTCCTAGTCGCCTGCACTTAGAAATCAACCGATTTCTAGGCGGTTCCGGTTCCTATGGACATAAACTAAGGTTTGGCCCCACGTTGGTGGAGATTCTGCCCCACGTTGGTGGAGATTCTGCCCCACGTTGGTGGAGATTCTGCCCCACGTTGGTGGAGATTCTGCCCCACGTTGGTGCCCATTTTTCTTTCTTATATGTAGTAGACAGCACCACGAAAGTGAAGGATTGGCATACACACTCGGATGCTGTTACTAAAATTAATATAAGATGTAGCCGGCAGCAACGGTCTGGAGCCTCGGGTTGCCTCTTGGTTCTAGACCTACGCTCACTAAGTTATGGGAAACCTAGTGTATAGAAAGATTCGGTTTCGTGCACTTCTAGCATTGCTCTGTGCTAAGCTCGTCGGATTGTCGTGGGTCTTCCTCGTCTTTTCTATAACGCGTGCTGTACTACGTGAAAAAGTTTTAAGTGCACTAAACGGTATCTACAAGGCTCAACAAAAATGAATGGGTGTTTACGGACTAGGGGTACACGGACGGACATTGTAGGCAAACGCAGATCAAGAAATACTGGAAGTTAGGGTGGCTTGATGTTATTCGCCCCCTTTCTGTACCCTCCCTACCATGATAACGCGTGAGATATTGTTGACGGTTATCCCTTATTCAATGTTTATTGGTTCATTACATTTTCAATTCATATAGCTCCAGCATTGTGTGTTCAATCACGAACCTAGATTTACAAAACTATTCAAACATAGTTGAAATATTTACCAAAATTAACAAAAGATCATTAAATTCAATCATAATTTCAATACAACTTCAATTCTCTCTTTTCGATATCAAACTCAATTCCGAATTACAGATAATTGCTACACTGACTTCATAACCTTCCGTCTAATATGCACACACAATAATAATACCATTCAAATATATCGGTAAAAGTCAGGAAATCAATATAGTGGTTTATAGATCTCACTTACGCAAAACTCCGGCGATGCAGGTTCGTTGGGCCCATCGAAGACGCTGTGCTAGGGTGCTTTTAGACAAATTTACATATTAATTTCTGACGAGATTAATTGCGTGGCTTACACGGGTGGTCATTGTCAGAAAACTAATAAGAATTTCTACTGAACCAATACAATGGTACGCTACGTAAGCAAGTACCGTAAATTTACTCTACAAAAAAAAACGTGAAGCTTGACTTTAAAATAGGCAAAGTGATTCTCATCCTCGATTCACTACTGCTTCTCCTGTGCGGTTCCTGATCAGCTCACTACACACGAAGGGATCTGCGTCTTCGCATGTCAGACAACAGGTCTATTCCTCTGGGTTGTCCTTCCTTTAAATCATCAGCCTTTTGCGAGGCTTATTCCATCGGCAAGCCGCACGTGGCCAGTACGGGTGAAGTGCCGAGTTGCTGCGCTACGACTCGCCTTCCAAAATATCGGCTCTATGGGCTAGCCAGAGCTGGGCGCTTCGTTGCCGCGCGTGGCGCGTGTTGGTGGGGCGATGTAGGCGCGTAGCAGGTGTCACATCCGGTAGTCGTTCACTTCCTCATCCGATCACCTTCCCGAAGATCGCTCGATGGTCAAACCAGAGCTGCGTGCTTACATGCCGCGCGTGGCGCGGGTTGGTGAGGTGATCATCAATGGTCGGAGTGATGTTAAGTCCTGGTACAATAACCTTCCACGTTGTCGCTCTATGGCTTCGCCAGAGCTGGGTAGGTGGATGCCGCGCGTGGCGCGTGCTGGTGAGGTTATGCACTTCTTTAAGTCGTCATTCAGGTGGTTGATCTTAGAGATGATTCTAGGCCGCACGTGGCATGCGGTTGGTGAGGAGCCGAGCTACAGATTTGCGTAGTTGGTGGGCAAACTGCAACCTCGGTCACCTTCCAGAATACGGGCGCCTTTTGCGGACCAAAGCTGCGCTCCGCGAGGCACGTGTCCGCAGGTGGCAACTCCGCCGTTGCAAGTTGGCTCCAAAATCTCTCAGAAAATCTCGTCTTGGCCGATGAAATTACAAACGGCGTGATTACGCCGAGCTGGCGCTGATGTAGCCGGCCGGCTTCGACGGAATCTTCTCTCTTTTCCTATTAAAAAAAAAATACACTGTTCTATTTACACTGCCTACACGGTTACGCTGGGTGCTAATATTTACCAGTAGTTGGGTATTAAAACAATAATAATCCTCTTACAATCGTTGACTTTGTTAGATTGATTCACAAGTTCACAAATCTCAGACACGTGGTTTGTACTTTTCAGCACTTACTCTTGATCTTACGACAGTCGCATGTCTGTACTCATTCAGAGTTTGAAAAGAAGTGAACGAGATTTTCGTCGCGTGAAGCTGGCTGTACGCGGCGGCGTTGCCAAACTTCACGTAACGGGATCGTTCCAGATTCAGTTTGCGTTTCTGCCTTCACACGTTTTTCTTCGGTGCGCACGATAGAGAGAGCGCTATGCCGGTACGCTAGTTGTGCGAGCGGTTCAGCTAGACGATGCTCGATGCTCTTCAGCTATACCCTGCGCTTAGCTTTTGGGCATCTACGAATTTACATGAATAAAGACTTTTCTCTATCTCTGAAAACAAATTTATAACTTCATTTTTCGACTGGCCCCCACAATAACTACAACATCATGTACTCGAAATCTGAATGCGATGCGGTTTTAACCAATATATAGAAACATTCGATCCGATTTGATCAAGCAAATCCCGTAAGTTAATGTGCGTTGCGAGTTCTTCTAAGATGTGTCCGTTGCGTATATAGATAGTTATATATACCTAAATATTTAACAGTGCTGTGATAGACTAACCGAATCCAAGCTGATTTGCCAGACCACCTGCATCCATACCATATAAAGAGAATAAAAACCAGACTATATAGAGAGCCCCCGAAAACGGTTTCATGGGCATTTGCTACTTGCTTGCGACTCCCTCGTTTACTCCACTGCATTCCAACCAAACCAACCAACATTCATGACTCTAACTCTAACAAGGCTTATGGTTTACCCCCTAATAGTTTACCTTATGATTTGTGCAATCGATACGCATTCACTCTTATATTTTTATCTTGAACGCAGAGTCCACTACCATCCATGACGGCTTCTGGCGCTGATGAAAATTTAAATCAACAAAGCTAAATGCCCGAAATGCATGTCGAGCTGAAAATCTGATATCTGAATCTTTCGTGAAAAAATGAGAAATGAACATTGAACAAGCAGCTAATTTGAAAAGTACTATCTAAGCAAATCTACACACAAAGCAGAACCGAGAGTTATGCGCTAATTTCCACACACCACCCTCACATGCCAGTTACCAGTAATAAGATCAGAATGAGATGCAGATACACCACCACCCACTTAGAGCGGTATTTGGTATACAAATCGAAAGTATATTTGACTAGTTGAGCAATGCACTCTTTATCATCAGATACCAGACATAAATTATATATATCTCAATGTATTACCAGAACTTCATATATACAAACAAATATATATATCTAAATATTTAAGCAAATTATACAAGAATCGTACGAATAAACAGTGTGCTTAGTTGAAAATGTTACCACTTGACGTCTAAATGTTAAACGACTAAGATAATGCGACCCATTTAGATACTTTTTCGACGAACGACAACCAATAAGAAAACCAAACAGAACCGAACCGAACAGATAAAACCACGTATAAGCATATTTTTACTATTAATTTGTATCTTATTAGTCAAGCGCATCATTCTCACGATTTATTTACACCCTGTTACAAAATGTAAGAACAATGGCAAAATTTAAGCATAATAAACAAACAAAAAAAAGCGTTTTTTCATTTACCAAATATGTTGATCTTGGCATTGTTGCACTTAGTTTTTGAATTTCAACAGACAAATAAATTTTGGAGATATATAAATATATCTTATTTGGCAAGCCACGCCCACGCCGCAAGCGTTCCAACAAAGCCACGCACGAGCACACATCCTACGTATCTTCTACCTCATTGGATGCATTGGTAATCGAAACAAAAATAAATTTGATCAAGCAAATTGTAAGTCGCCATCTCAATCGAGCTAAAGACAACAAAACCAGAACTATTTTGCAACTCTCTGCCATCGGCGATTGTGAATCCTGTTTCTAAGACCCCTCTGTTTCGAATCCCCCGCAGTATTGGAAGGCGCCGCGTATCCAGAGGGCCACCACACTCACCTCGTCCATGTCCCTGCCAGCGGAGTGCCTGGTCCTCTCCGTGTCCATGCCCTCGCTCAACTCGGAGCCCAAGCGTCCCAAGAGTGCGGGTCCCAAGAAGAAGCCCGGCCAGGCCGTCCACTCGAAGCCATTCCGCCTGTATTGAAGGATCAAAGGGAATCCTATCCGATGAAGAAGCTGCTCCACACGTTGCACACGAGACGTCACCCAATCGAAGCACCCAGAGATTTGTGCACAAGTTGATATCGAGGCACGCACTTCTAAAAACATATAACATATGCAGAATACATTTTATCAAACCGTTGATTGTTTAGAGAACCGAAAAACGAAACGTGGCATTTACGAACAAAATAAACGACCTACTGAGAGGCAAAGTTAAGCACAAAATGCAGATGTTTCATTAAATAATTACAGTATATATTTTTCGTAAGTATTAAATCAGTTTTACGGCTGCTACATCTCTGGAGCCAAACTTGCGTTTGATTTATTTAGGTATATATGTATAATTAGTACAAAAATTGTCCTGGGATTTCGTTACTTCTCAGCTTAATCATCATGTTTTTGGAAAATTGGGCGCTTTTCTTGGTTTCTTTTGTAGGTTTGTATTCGTTTTTGATTCTTGTTACATCGTTTATTCGATTATTCGAGTTGCGTCACATTTAAATGCAGTTTGTTGCCTTTCCATTCACATAATCCTTTTTCCTATACTTACGCCGTAAAAGTTGTTTATACAATTCGTTTTGTTTAAAGTTAGGGTAATAAATAAGTCATTATAAAATAATAAACAACAGTTGTTACATTTTCAAAAGACATGGTCAAATGAGCTTCGAGTGATTATGATTATGATTCGAGGGTCGAGAGTTAGAATAAAAAAAATGCGCATGCTTGAATATCATTTTAAAAAAGTGGCTTTCTCTAAGAGCTCGTCTTGTCGTCAAGTGAATTGGCCTGGTTTCAGATTTGGTAAGCTTGGGATTAGCTGCCTCAGCTCATGGCTACATAACTATAATACATTTAATGGGAAATTAGGAAATGCATAGATGCTCGTGATATGCGAAACCAATTTTTAGCTGCTTATAATTTTCTCTTTCTGCTTGTTACTATTAGTACAATACATTCGATTCAATTGACTAGATTTCTACATATGTAGCTGCATTAGATTTATCATTTCTTTTCTGTGGTTCCGATTTTGTTAACAATGTTGTTGTTTTGCGGGAGGGAGTCGTGGTGTGCCAAACGTGAGACCCCAACGATCCCAGGCAGAAACCCTCGAACGAGAAAATTTCACCTGAATTCTGATGGCAGTACACTTGGGTTCCCAGAATCGCATATGAAATTGAATCGTTCTTCAGAGTTTCCTAACTGGCGGTCGTTTTAGGGCTTGTTGCATTTCGAGAATATGGAAACTTTTATAAATAAATACATGTAATTGATTTGTCGATGAGGGCGCTGCGTGAGTGTCTATGTCGTGTACGTGTCGCTTCCGAGGAATCTCTATACTCTGCCAAAGCCAATAACATGCTACCTTATTTACATAACTAAACACTTTCGCTGGCGTCGCTTTAGCGGCTCTGGTCTGAGCACCGCGCGAACCGCTTCCTCGAACACCTGAAAGCAAACATGGAATGGGGGAATTAGTCAGATGAGCAGTAAGGTGAGGCCATGATGACTTACCGGCTTGAGGCCTCGCTGCGTCAAGGCGGAGCACTCCATGTATTTCACAGCGCGTATCTTGTTCGCCAGCTTCTGACCCTGCTCGCGCTTCAGCGGCGTCAGTCCCTGCTCTGCCAGGCCGCTGAGTGTCTCTCGATCTTCGCGCAAATCGATTTTGGTACCTGGAATACGCCCAAATGTATATGTAGTATTTCATTTCCCGTTTGGTATTGCTGGCAACTTGGCAACCTACCAACTAGAATGATGGGCGCGTCGGGGCAGTGGTGCTTTATCTCCGGATACCATTTCGAGGTGACGTTCTCAAAGGACGAGGGACTCGCCACGCTGTAGCATATCAGGAAGACGTCTGTCTGCGGGTAGGAGAGCGGTCTCAGGCGGTCGTAGTCCTCCTGGCCCGCCGTGTCCCACAGGCCCAGCGAGACCTGTATTGTGTCCACCTGCATGGGCGCCGAGTAGTTGTCGAAGCTGTGTGCGCGTAGATATCATAGTTGAAAGTTAGATATTGATCTGCAGTTGGGAATGGACAAGCGCAAACTCACACTGTGGGCACATATTCGCCGGGAAAGCAGTCTGTCGTGTAGGAGATTAGCATGCAGGTCTTTCCGACAGTGCCGTCACCGACGACAACACACTTTATGGGCCTTCCGGTTGACATCGTGAGTGCTGTGAGTGTGCCGCTAGCTCCAAGCTATATACTCTGCTGCGTGTGCTGTGGGCAAAAATAAGATGGAAGATGAATGTCTTCGCCAGCTTAATTCAATTAATTAAGTTCTACTCGAGGCAATAAACTCGCCAGAACCAACTGACCGCACATTTACACGGTACGGTAGAGATTCTTTGGGTTGAACTAACAAAAATTTGAAATGGAAAATCAAATTATATAGGTCTAGAAATAAAGTAATAAATATTATCTTCAGCAAAAGTGAACAAATTTGTAGAATCTCTTTAACTTTTTATAATTTTTACTGGTTATATTATGAAAATGACTGATCAAGATAAAAACAATCATTAAAACTTTTTTACTGGTTATATTATGAAAATGAATGATTAAGATAAGAACAACTTTTTTTTTATAAGAAGTTCGACTGTTCTCTAGTATATCTCTCGGATAATATAATCGAACTAATAAAGAGGTTAACTTAAGAGTTATGGTGGATCTATATAGATTGAAGTTCGTCTTATAGGACAAGAAATATGGTGCCTATAGTTAGAAACATTAGACTTATCGATGCTCCACTGTATATCGCTTAATTGCGAGGGTCTGTGGTATATCTCTCGGATGATCAAAGGCAGGGCTCTCGAAAGGTGTGTCTCGAAAAAACCGCAGGCCCATAAAGCATAATAAAACGAGAGTCTCATTTCGGCTGCGGTGGCACTTTGTTTTCGTTTTCGCAAATAAAATTTTCAAAAATAGATCATGATGGGCGACAACACAGACTGACGGGAAAATCGAAAACAACAAAAAAGAAAATAGAAATGGGAACAGCGGACCAAATGGCGACCACCCCAACCGCCCCTCCAGTGGCGCCCCTACAGGGTAGAGAGGGGGAAGGGGGGCCTAAACCGAATGTTGTGGTGACGCGGAAGCCACCGGCAGACCGGCCGAAAATAGACACAATTAAGTTCTCATAACCGATTCAATTAAAGTTCAACGCATTGCGCCACATGCAACGCCGACGAGGGGCGTGGCACGCGGGGGCGGGGGGCGAGTCTTTTGTTGTGCCACAATATCGAATGGCTATTGTATTTTACCGTTTCAAGGATAGAGGAGCCTTTTTCTTTGTCTGCCAGGCGGCGGCGGCGGCGGCGACTGTTTTGTACTTTGCTTATATCACTGTGCGTTCCGCAGTTTCCGCTTTTCCTTCGGCGCTCGGGCTCTTGCGGCGCATTTAACTACTCGATTTGCACTATTTCGCTGCGCTTCTTATTAACAAATATCCTTTTTGGGGGACGAACGCAGCGTTCACGGGTAATTTTCGTGTTTTATCTTTTTGTTTCCACACAAACACACACCCACCTTTTTGACAGCGCAGCGTCGCTCTCTCTCGAAAACGGTGCTGCCAACTCGTAATCAGGAAAAATAGCTGTTTCTGGTGGGAAAAACTAGCCAAAAAAGGTACAATTTTAAGAAATTTTGCTATAAAACAAAAAGTTTTCTAATTTTATAATGTAGCTTTTATAATAATTTTGTAAATTCAACGCCTTTTTATTTTTACTACAGTTAATCCACAAAAATATTGAACAAATTTAGCGGGAAATTGGCTGTCCTGTATTCGCGCGCTGTCAATTTATCATCGATATATTAAATTTTCTTAAATATGTGACGAATCACCCAGTGGGCCTGTTTTGTTCGAGTTTTTTGGCCGCAAAATTTGACAAATATGGCGCGTAATATCTGCTGACTACGCCCCTGTTGCCTCTGCCCACTGTTGTTGTAGAGCTGCAAAAACATCGATGGCAGGCCCCATCGATAGTTTGGATAGTTTGCAGAATTAACCTCGATACTATCGCGATAGTATCGCTCATACATAAACATTGGGGATCCTTTAAAAATTTTAATTGTTGAAAATTCAAATCGCATTTGGATTATATTAAAGTGAGATCTTTTTAATACATATCCATATTTTTAATACATATACATATTTGTCTGCTGAACGCTTGTGATAAATCCAAAAAAAAATTATTTTTTCATAAAATGGCTGAACAATTATAAAGAATTCCACCGAATTTATGGTTTTTTAAACTATCGTGATAGTCTGAAAAATATCGAAGTCGGTCACCGGCGGCCAACCATCGATACTATCGATGGTTCCATCGATTTTTTTGCAGCTCTATGTTGTTGTTGTTTTTGGCGGCGTAATGAGCAGATTTGTTTGTAAACTTTTGCGGAGTGTAAACCAAACAAATTTCGGCTGCAGGCACTTTTCCTCGTCATCTATAAGGAATGTGGAAAGTGGATCCCTAGATGGGACTCCTGCCCGCACAGTTCTGGTGGAGAAGGACTCGCACATAACTCTGATAGGCATAAATCGCGAGCAGCAGCGCAATTCCATAGATGCCAACACCGCGGAGCAACTAACCCAGGCGATCAGTCAATTTGAGGAGGATGATTCCTCCCCAGTGGGTGTGCTCTATGGGATAGGCGGCTCCTTCTCCGCCGGCTATGACTTGGAGGAGCTGGAGGCGGAGGCCCAGCGCGGGAGCCTCAACTTTCTGTTGCGTCACGAGGGCTCCGTGGGACCGACGAGGCGGCATCTCCGCAAGCCTATCGTTTGCGGCATCAGCGGCTTCTGTGTGGCCGGCGGAGTGGAACTGGCTCTCATGTGTGACCTTCGGGTCATGGAGGACACTGCCGTGATGGGATTTTTCAATCGCCGCCTTGGAGTTCCTCTCAGCGATGGCGGAACCGTGCGTCTGGCCGCTGCAGTGGGTTACTCTAATGCCCTGGACATCATTGAAACAGGGAGACGCATCTACGCCGGGGAAGCCAGGCGAATGGGTCTCGTAAATCGCGTGGTGGCCACGGGCACAGCTTTGGGCCAAGCGGTGAACCTCGCCTTCTCCATAGCCAAGTTTCCCATGGCCTCCTTGATGCACGATCGGAATGCCCTGCTGGAGAATGCCAATGCCTACAACAAACCCGGTTTCCATGTGGCCAGCTACATTGAGATCATGAATGTCACCTCGGACATGATAACAGATATGCAGGAGGGCGTCAAGCGCTTCAAGAACTGTGAGTACTCATGGATATCACTCCCTTAAACTGAATTTTTATTTTCTATATATTCCTTAGCTGAGTTAAAAGGCCCCAAAACGGATTCCTGGCACATCAAGGAGAAAACGATTCCGGAATGGGAAAAAGCTGAGATTGAGATCGAAAAACAAAAGACATGATATAGATTCTCCTGGTTAGTTGCAATACTTTGTTGTTATTTATAAAACGAAAGCCTTTATTCACGTAAAATACATTTATTTAATGATTTATGTAGTTGACCGCCCTTATCGTTTACGACTCGCGCTTATTTCAATATTCACAACAATTACAATAACGAATTTTCCTTGAAATTAAGCCTAACTACCAAAAAGAGTTGAGAGGAAAAGCACAAAGTTCTGTATTCCTTGCTTCACAATTAGTTTACACATATAAAAAATATGCTAGCTTCGAGTAATTCGGACTTCAGTCCTTATTACCTACAATTACAATGAATTTATCGAGTGCTGGTTTTCGCCAATATCTAGATATATCTTAGATCTAGGAGTTAACAAAAGGAGTTTTTATTATTGCACTTAAATCGAGTAAAGCGAGAAACGAAGCTCTATGCAAAAAAGGCTGCTCTTGTACAAACTAGTGTTAAAAACCGACTGATCGTTAATCGTGTTATAGTAGTTTGATTTAAAATACATCGTACATCGTCGTCATCGTCTTCGTCTAACATTTACACTCTTGGCTACACTTAATCCAAAAAATTTGTCATACAAATATTGCACAAAAATGGATCGGACTGTGAGTTTGCTGCAAAACCTTCAATCAAGTGGTGGTACGTGTTCACATACATAATCACTAAAGTACGGTATTCGGAAACCTAAAGACCACAATACATATACAATATATACAAATGAAGAAGCAATTTTCGCTAATCGTCGAGTCTGGTATAAAAAATATATATAGCGTTAGGCCAAAAAAGCAATTGCTGGCGACAATATGTTGCTTAAAGATGCGATATCTCTGATCCCCGATTACTTGAGTCGCTGTGTCACATTGGCCAAAGCCACGGCAAAGGCCTGGAGGGCGGAGAAAGGATACTGGAAGTCCAGGGTGTAGGCATTGCCATCGATGCGTCCAAATTGCATGACCTGATGGGAGGATTTATATATTATCAATCTGTACTTAAGGATTTCTTTGGGTAGTTAGTCTTACCTGCTTGCCACGAAACTCTATTTGAAAGTTCTTGGCCGATTCCTGGGTAACGCGACCTCCAAAATCCAGCTGGTACACCTGGCTCATCTCATTCCACATGGGCGCCTTGTTGTGCATCACAAACTCGCGACGCACTGGCGCCGGATTGGCACAACTAGCACTGCCATTCGGCTCGATCTTTCCACGCTTTAGCTGTGGATAAGGATTTTTCCATAAAAATAATTACAGTTGAATAATTTAATTTTTAAAAATCAAAAGTAACTTATAAGGTTTTCAGGAATTATTTAAAAATGTTATATAATCTCAACTAACCTTCTGACGCAGCTGGGCCTTCTGGAAGGTCTCCAGATCGCGATACTGCTTGCCATTGCCCGCGTTGTTGCTCTCCTCACCGGATCCATTGGTCTGGTTGCCCTCATCATCGGAGCTCTCGATGATGCTCTGCTTTTTCCGCTGCCGCCGGTTCAAAAGCGGTGAATTTAAAATGTGGCGAATGGGCGAGTTGCTCTGCTGCCGCTTGTTCTTTTTGCTGGCCGCCGGCGAGGCGGGAGAACTCCTTGGCAGTCGCTGCGGGGTGGAAGGAGGCGTTAACCGACCCTCGTCGAGATCACGAAGACGGCTTATGATGTTCTCCAAAGTGGTAAGGGCCTGTACAAATTGTAATTAAATTATTTTAAATATTTAAAATTGTTTTTTAGAGCTAACCCACCTGAGTATGCAGCGAAACCGAAGCCTTGGCCTCCACTGGCGTGGCCTCCACGGCGCCACAGGCCGCTCCCGTGATCTCCGGCTGCTGTTGACGCTCCAGAGTGCTGGCATTACTACTCGAGCCATTTACCTGGGCTGGCTGCTCCTTGCGTCGCCAGCGAACCTCGGACAGCTGCTTTACAAAGCTAAAGCCATTGTCCTGCTTTCTGCCCAGCAAGGGAGTGGAGGTCTCGTTGCCCGAGGTGTCCTTGCTGCGTCCGATTCCAAAGCGATGCTTGCGCGTAAAGAGCGGCGAGTCTGTGAAGCTAGTGATGACATCGAAGCGTTTCTTTGGCGCCGGCTTGGCCTGCACCGGCGACTCCTTGACCGGCTCCACCGTCGCCACAACGGCGGTAATCTCATCCAGAACAGAGCTCGCCGTCGGCTGACACCGCTTGCAGGCACTGCTGGGACTCATGTTGTTCCTGCACTTGAAGCACAGCGTGTTGGCCGCACTGCTGCAGGCGCTGCTGTCGGAGATCTCCTGCAGCTTGCGCACCACCTGCTCGTGCTCCTTGCTGGACAGCTTCGTCTGCAGGGAGAGCAGGTCGCAGGAGTCCAGGCTCTTGGATTTCCCGGTCTGCTGGAGTTTGTGCCGCCTGGCATCCTCCTGCTGCTGCCTTTTCCTCCGATTCCTTCGCTTGTCCACCAGGATCAGCCGCTTGTTCGGCGCATCCTTGCGCAGGGCAGAAAGCGCCTCATCCGATGGTGTAATGGCCACCGAATCCAGATACCCCACGCTGCAGCTGCGCGTGATGGAGTCGGGCAGGGCAGGAGCAATGGACACCACCGTGGGAGTGCGCTTCATGCTGCTGCTACTCGGCGTGGGCACTGGCGACTGCGTCTCCTCATCGATGTACAGCATCTCACGTCGCTTGGAGGTTGTGGGTGCCGCCGCCATACACTTGACCCTCGCATCCATTCGCTCCAGATTCAGATTGAGATTCAGTGGCACCGGATTCACATGACTGTTGGCCGAACGCACGGGCTCCGACATCAGAGCATTCTTCACCTGAACCACATTGTTGGCATAGTCTGCATTGCTCGAGTAAGACATCAAGGTGGTTTGCCCAGCGGCTGGCACGGCGGGACGCTCGAAGATGATGTCCGAGGGAGCCACTGCATTCTTGGGACTCTGCAGCGTGGGCACGGCGCCATCGCAATAAAGCGGTGAGATGGCATGACGCGACTGGCAGCTGGAATTGGAGCTGGAGCGGCTGTAGCTGTTCTTGAAGCTGCTGATCGTCTTGGGGCGCGTAATGGTCTTGCTGCAACTGGGACCCGAGCCATTCGAGGGTGCCTGATGCAGGAGCACAGTGGTGGACGCAGCAGCAGCTCCCGCCTCCTGGGATTCGTTGGAGGAATCATCATCGTAGCTCTCGGCTCGCGCCAGAGGACTCAGACCCGCCGATGAAGAGGTAGATCCTCCATTTACAGTCAGCGAGTTCTTGTGCCGCGCCAGAATTCTATTTGGACGCGGCGACATGGGCGCTATCAAGGGAGCCGAGGCTCCGTCGGTGAGGCGACGTTGCGGTATTATCGGTGGCTTCAGCGTAGCCCCATCCTGAGTGGTGATCACATTCACCTGCGGCACTGCATCGTGATGATTGAGCACCTGATGATGAACCTGACTATGCTCATCTTCGTCCTCGGAGAATATATTCGGATTGAAGCTGGGATCGGGACCAGGTGGAAAATCGTCGCGCAGCTCGGTGATGACCAGCGTCATTTGACGCGGCTGCAAATGCAGTAGGGACGTCTTATAAGTTACTTGGCCTAAATTGGCTGGGACGGTTTTGGCAAGTCCATGGATCTTGAACTTGGTACCCCAAATGTTGGAGGTCACCTCGACCAGCTTGACTTCCTGCTTGGGAAAACGGAAAGGAGAATCAGTGATGGCGTGGATCTTCTTCGCCAGTGAATGGCACTCACCTCCGGCAGTGTGTCCACATAGGCCAGCTCATCCAGGCTATCGGGATCGTTCGATCCGCCCCCTGCGCCACCAGAGGCGCTCAAACGATCGCCGGCCTGTTGTCGCCTCTTCGGACGCACTCGCTTCTTGCGCGGAGTTCGCGGCGAGCCAAAGCGGGATCGCTCCTCGTAGTCACTGTCCGAGGAGTCGGTGCGTCCACTGTTGCCCGTGGTGGTGGACTGGCTGGAGCCCGAGGAGCTCTTGGCCTCGGCGGAGTATTGAAAGTACAAGGGGGCATCTGAAACGGGAAACAATATTAAATTTTAATGTAAAAATGATATTACGTTTTCGTGCATATCAAGTCAAATCGATATTACAAAACGTAAAATTTATCTTCGCTTCATATCAAGTTTTTCTTGGGTGTACTCACCATTAACCTGAGGATCGAAGATCACAAATTCTGGGCGAATTTTCGAGGTACGCTTGCCCTTGAGCAGCGGCACCAAACCGCCCAGGTACTCCAGATAGAGCGTGTAGCAGGTGCCGGAGCTCAGATTGGAGTCGTCATCGTGCCGGATCATGGTGCAGTGCAGCCGGGTGGAGCAGAGCGGTGGTCGCGAAACAAAGTCTCGCAGCGACTTCAGGTCAGGTACACAGCACTGTATTAATAATATATCGAACAATCTTAATAAAAGGGCACAATTTTAAACGGGAAGTTGAACCGTTAGCGAAAATGGTTTGATATAAAAATCTAAAACCAAAAACCGAAAGTCGGAAACAATCCATACAACGATTTAAGATCATAAGATATTTCACTCCCACTACATAAATAATAAATAATAATATAAATAAAAAATAATAAATAAAAGGAGAACATTTTTAAACAGGAAAACGGTTTGATATGAAAATCTAAAGCCAAAAACCGAAATTCGGAAATAATTTGTACAATGATTTAAGATCATAAGATCTCAGAACTTACTCTTATCGTTTGAGCAAACAGATTGCCAATGAGAGACTTAATCCTAGAAGGCAACGGCAGCAGTGGCAGCAGCGACTCGGATCCGACGCTCGCCTGGATTTCCAGACGGCAGAGAAGCTGCAAGGAGGCCACCCGTCTGGAGACCCAGGCGATGTGAACCTGTGTCCCCGTAGCGATGAACAGCCGCTTGTCGTTGTGGCCCCAGGTGATGGCCGAAACGGTGGACGTGCTGCACGGTATGTGCGCCTGATACAGACATGTGCCCGTTTCCGTGTAGAACTTGACCAGATTCGTGTAGCTACTCGGTAGGCCCATCTCCTCCGGCTTCGATCCATCCAATCCGGTGCGAAGGGTTCCTGCTACGGCCAGCAACTCGCGGGAGTTGCTCCACTCCATGACCATGCCGAGGGCGCCGTTAAGGCAAGTGTTGATATGTGCGGGTGAGACGTCGTCGAACGACTTAAGCAGATAGATATATCCATTCTGGAAGCTTACAGCCAGGACAAAGGAGCGTTTGGCTGGGGGATATTATATTATATTATTTAAATATATTTTATATATATTTTAGGATCACTCACCCGCATTGGTTACACCGGGCTCCGCCTCCTCGCCCTCCTCCATCTTGAACTTCTCGCAGGACCAGGCCATCGATGTGATGGGCACATCGTTGGACAGCTGAACCTGCGACACCATCGCCCCGTGGACATCCATCACAATCACCTGACCCTGGGTGGTGCCAAAGTACACCTGCTGATCGTCCGGAGTCCAAATACCGCAGGTGATCGTCGACTCCAGATTGAGCATGGAGGACCAATACCTTTGCCCAGCCACGGATCCGACCAGAACGAAGCCATCCTGGTAGCAGATCAAGGCCATGCGGCCATCGTGGGACCAGGAAAAGTGGGTAACCGGCGTATTGCGATCGTTGATCAGCTCGATGGACCAGCGACCCTCGTACTTGATCCACACAAAGATGATGCCCGAGCTGTCGCAGGAGGCCAGCTTCTGGTAGGGTTCGTTCCATTTGACCAAGATGACCTTTGAATATATTTATTAATTAATTAATTTAATTTTAGGTGGCTACTCCGATTGGAAACCTACATCCGATCTATGGCCGCGCAGGTTGTAGTTGGTCCTCAGCGGATAGTCCATGTTCTTGCGGCAATGCGAGGTGGTAAAGGTCACGCCCACAATGCCGCGCACATTGCCCGTGGCCAGCCATCCCTCCTGGTAGTAGTTGGTGCGGTTCAGCTTCCAGCCCTCGTCCTGAAAAATAGGAGAAAAAGAAATCCAGTTAAATAGGAGCATGTCCACAGCTGCCTAAGCAGTCGCCAATTGCGAGTCAAGTGCCCGTTGCTGGCTTGTAAAATGGATTACCGCAGGCTCGAAAAAAATAGAGACCTCCCTGGCCCATTCACACATTTCCATTTCCCATTTCCCCGTTTCCCAGCATCGACAGCCGGCTGTTGGCTTGGTTGCATCTCTTAGATTCTCCACTCTTTGAGCGACGCAACCTGCCAGCTGCCTCTTTCACAGCCCGGAGGAAAAAGCATTTTCACTCGATTCCATTGGATTCCTAGCAACTAACGGGTGGCTGGAGCATGATCACCATGGTGATGAACCCGGGGATAAGATATTTTTCTGGATTTACGGCATATTTTACATTTAAGCTTCATTAGGAGCCCAAGTCAAGCAAACCTTTTCTCTGCCTTTTCATAATTAATTGGAAATGGTTAAGGTTTCTTTAGGAATTTATCAAAATATTTACCCTTTAATTAAACCCCCTTGATTTTTAATCGCTGCTCAGCAATTAACATTATTTTTTGGATACTTGTTAAGGTTTCTTATAAACTGATTTAAAATAATCGTATTTTTTCATTCATAGCAGATTGGGTAAACACCAAACATTAAATATTTGTACTTAACTATATTAAGAATTTACTAAAGACTTTTTGATTTTATAATAATAAAAACAAGAGAGAACGCTTTATTTACTAAGCTTAAGAAAGTGCGAGGGAGATTCATTATTTGCTCATAACTTTTTATTGAATGTTCAGATTTTAAAAATTTATTCTACATTTCGATGGGTATTAATAAGTACAACAAAAATGCATTTATACTTTTCTGAAATCTTTAATCTGTAACTATACTAACTTTCTACTATAGGACTTGTGCACTTAAAAACCAATTCTTTAAATACCCTTTATATAATCACTATTCAAAATAAATTCAATTAATTCGTTCTTATAATTAAAATTATTTAAATAATTTTGCAACCTTTTCACTAGTAAAATCTTTGATATTTCCCCTAGCTTTGGTTTTCTTGGTGTTCTTTCAACACATTTACCAACTATGGGAACTTGTGCAATTGAAATCAACCATCAACACGTAACTCAAACGAATTCGCTTATGTAAAGGTGAGTGAAAGCTGTGGCTGCATTCTCATTTGAGATTGAATTGAAACCAATTATGGCATCCAATTAACATTTCAAAAGCTTCCCTCTCAGTCGTCATCAGTCAGTCGAGCATTCATTCTGCAACTTTTAACTTGCTTTCGTTTGTTTGCCAGTTGGGCCTTTCTCTCTGCGGGCTTTCTTTTAGGGGGTTTTGAAAACTCTTTGCTTTGCTTTGCCAGTTTATCAACTGCAGCAGATGCTCCGGTTCCTGATTTCCTCCTACTGCAGTGGCACTCAACCGCAGTTCCTCATCCTCATGCTCCTCCTGTTTGAGTCCTCCTTCTGTTTTACAATTTGATTTGATTGTAGAGACTCCTCCACCAACTAAAAACCCACCCACCATTGAAAATTGATTGTTTTTCCGGGGCGGGGACGTTCACAAAAGCTTAGCCTACATTTCGGGGCGGCAAAAGAATATTTCAATTTAAACCAAAATTCGGGCGCTTTCAGCATTTTGGCTAATCCCCGCTAAGCCGAATGGGCGCTCGCTTTTTTGGCGCCCAAATCCAATTTGTGGGGCATAAATTAAAATGCCGCCGCAGAGGCAAAAACAAAAATTACGCTGAAATTTGTAATTTCCGTTTTGGATGGACAGTGGACTTTACAGCGTAGACCTTGCCTCCGTGTTAGCCAAGTTAATTGCTTTATTGGCCTGATTGATTGGTGTGCATATGCTGATGTCCTTGCTGATTAAATTATATAAATGAACGCACACATCACACCAGGCGCAAATGTCGTTGAGGCCATTGAATGCATCGTCGGATGGACTTCAATGCCTCATTATGGCACAATCGAGAATCAAGAATCAAGTATACGCCTCGTGGGCCGCAACAATTATGGACAGGCATTCGGCATTTCTTTTGTGAAGTGTTATTAACCTTTCACTGGGCCACTTGAACCGGATCTGGCCCGTGCTCTTGGCCAAAATAGATGCACTCGAGATGGGGAATTTGCATTTCTGCTGTGCATGCTTGAAAGCACTTCAATTTAATAAGTATATCACGAAGCAATAAATTGCTACAATGCTATTACACACAAGAAGAAAACACGTTGCGGTCAAATCGATATGCGCATGGTAAATTTCTGGCATTTCTGACTTCGAAAAAGTGAGGAAGAAGCAATGAGTCAAGTTAAATTACTTGAGCGGAAGCAAGAAAGACATATTCGAAATTCGAACTAGCCTGTTGCTTACATTTCGAGCATATCAATTCAAATTGATACCACATAACGTAAAATAGATCATCGTTTCATATCAAGCTTTTTTTTGGGTGTAGGGGAGCAAAATGCCTTGTGGAAAATTCGAATTGGCAATTGAATTAGTCAAAGTTTGCTTTAAGCATTCAAATGGTTTAAATTTCCGTTTTCACTTTGGCTAATGCAATTTCCCTTGAACGTTGTAATTTCATTTGGAACAGCGACAACATCAGCGGCAGCAACAGCAGCAACATCAGCCACCAGCAACTAGCAACATCAATGTCAAAGCTGCGACATCAAGGCAACGGCGTTGACAGCCTCACACTTTGGGCCAGGTCCTTTGCTTTTGCTTCTGGTTTCTGCCTGAAATGTTCAAGGGGCTACTTGTAAGTTGTTAACCGTTTGGCGACGTTGACATCCTGTCTGCCTGCATTCGCCTAGAAAATTACCTGACAATCTTTCTCCTGCAGTTTCCCTTGGATTATTTAAATTTTGTAGTTGCGCCTAAAGTTTATGGTGAGAGAAACATGGCCCAAAAAATTAGATGCCTGTATGCGATTATACTGCAGTTGTGGCTGCAACAGCAACATAGCCTCCATAAATTATGCTGCTGCCATTTGGCACACGAAACAGCATTTTCGTGCTGCTCCATTTCGCAAACAGGCAGCATACGCATTTAATTAAAAGAGCCATTTTTAAGGCTGGCACCTGACGACTGACCCTCTATGTGTATTTTACCCCCTTAGTCCCACTTTTGTGCACATTAACCATAATTGCAATTCATTATGCATGCCAATGGCATTCGCATCCGCTTCATTATCCTCATGAACACGCTGCTAATGGCTAAAACTGCGGATAAACGGACAACTAATGCTAATAAACATTTAATAAATTAAATATTTGGCTTAGCGCTTCACAAGTGGCCAATCAAAAGGCTCAATTTACCGGCCGAAAAAAACCCTAATAAATTATAAAATGATTTTGTGAGTATTTAACGAAGTTAAAGAGCTCTTTGTCGAACCATAAAAGCTAATTAATATAACATATTTAGTGAGACCTCAAAATATAATTATTCTTGCAACTAAAATAAAGTAAAAGTGTAATTATTATACAAATTAGTTTAAATCGAGACCACTTTTTTTTCTATAATATTAAAACTGTCAATATAAATTTTAAATGCTTTTTCCCCAAAGCTCTTCAATTAGAAACTAATCCAATATGCATTTAACTAATTTATTATTTAGCAAAATTGCTCGGCAAGTGGCTCATATAAATTTATGAGCAGATTTATAGCATGATAGAAGAGCTTAAGGCTTTTCCCAGAATATTTTCAAATATTTCTTAATTAATTGACAAAGCCAGGGAAAACATGTTGGAAATTCTTTTGGCTAACAGGCTAAAGACAATAAATAAATAAATATTTAAAAACACTTTAAGGCCCACAGTGGTTTATGCTTTGTTTCGGATCCAAATTGGTGGAGCCCCCCTTGATAAAGTCAAAGAACTCTTATGCAAAACACTGCACAGGTATATATAGAAACCAATCTAAAAATATGTATCTTTTTGGTCTATTTTCGGGCCTTTTTGCAGCCAATTTTAAACACCATCCCGAAGGCTATTTTGCTGTTCTGCTGCTTGTGGTCTTGTTTTTTGGGGTCGTTGACAAAGAGTTCAAAGTAGCTGAAAGGAATGGAAAGCTATCAAATCCATTCGGGTCAAGTGCAGAAGCAAATAAATAAAACTTGGAGAACCAAAAAGAGAACTAGAACTTCTGCGCTCGATTGCCAAAGACTTTTGAGAGCAATTTTCAATTTTCAGCCAGCGGCCACTCGTCGTCTCTCAAACATTTTTTCTCTCGGCGAAACGAAAGTGAATTTTTTCGGAAAATAGCAACGATCCATCAGCACTTGATCTCAGTTGCCAAAGTTCTTTTGCGCGGCGCGATCGAAGATCTCTCTTGACTCCGTGCGGATATTTCGGAAAATGTTCTAATTTCTCTAAGTACCAAAATCGGAACAGAACCAGAAAAAACAGAAAACAAATATCGAAATATGTGTGCAAATTTGTTTTGGTTGGGTCTAATTGCCTGCGTAGCTTTCGCCAGGAGTATCGAACTCAATGAGGCCAAGCGCTTTTTTAGCGTGGGTGGAAGGGTCGATGGGGACCAGCTCCTGGTCAAGGATGTGCTCCACTCTCGTCCAGCCGGCCTAGGCGAACTTCCCAAAGTGACTTTCACCTACGAAATTCAGGAGCCCATTAATTGCATCGATATCCTGTCGGAGGAAGTGAGTGAAGGGGAGCATTAATTCTGAAAATCATTTTCGGAGTTGCATTTTATTTAAATTGCAAAGAGAAAATTTAGAAACAACTTCTATCAATTAATGTTTGGTACCTAAAATAAGGCTCTTTTAATTATAATTTTAAAATGGAGAGAAAAAAAAGGAAAGCTTATAAAGTTAAATAACAAAAAGCAGGAGTAATAAGTTTAAATACCTATATTTTCTATCACATTGAAAATAATTTTTTTTTGAACAGGCTGATAAAATAAGTAAACAAATATCTTTAGTTTAATTTTAAATATTTTTGGTTCTATTGGGTTCGAAACCAAAAATAATAATATTTATACGCATATTGTCAATACCAATTAAAACAGAAAAAACAAAACCAAAAGGAAATTCGGTATTTAAAATGGATGCAAATAAGTTGGCAGAAAATACACCGATAGAAAACAAATATTTCTGCATCATTAGTCAAAAATAGTGAAGTGTATTTCGGGTTATGAGCAAGTGAGGGATATGCAACGGATATTACGTCGCTGGGCATTTGTCACTGACCCCTTGTTGTGTTCTATCTTTTATTTTGCACATAGAAAATAAGCGTTCCGTACCAATAATATAAATAGAAACCGACAATTTTTTTTCGTCACGACAGGCCACAAAAAAACTTTGGCCCATAGATGTATTTTTATATCCAGTGCGTTTGAGGCTGCGAGTGCCGGGCCTGTGTTTACTATATCTACGCGACCGATATATTTTCATATTTTCTCGTTTTTGTTTATTTTGCCCTAAAATATGATTGGGTTATGGACTTGCACAAGTGTGGCACGAAAAGATATTTAAAGTGTATGAATTTATCGACATCTGGGTCGATAATTGAAAGTAATAATAATGTATAATATTGTATGAGAAAATCGCATACTTTGAAGCCAATAAAAATAAAATAGCGTGAGGAAATGTGGCAATTTGGCAAAGCCGACAAGCTAAATGGGCAAAGGAAAACGAACCGACAACTTATATATATTATTTCTCAAATAACAAGAGGGGAAAATCTTGCCGAATGCAATTTCAATTTTTGAGCATTTTTCAAGACGATTATGACGCGGGATTTTCCCTAGAAAACATGCGAAAATATTCGTAAATCAACTTTGGCAAAGTACATATATGCGTATGTGTCCGTGAATTCGTGATTGTCAGACAGAGTAAACATTCTGGGAAAATGTGGCAATCACTGATGGATGTTGCCGTCATGATGGTCACGCCTGATTGGTTTTGAGGGGATTTCTTATTTGGTTTTTATTTTCTTAATTTTCCCCTTTTTCAGAACATTTCGGCGGAGGTGAAATTCAGCTTGGTAAATCGCCTGGTCGTTGGCATGGTCCAATTGGCGGGCAGTAATCAAAATGTCGATGAAGCCACCGAATCACCAGCCTCTGAATTTGATGTGACCATCATGGTCTTTGGCCTCAATGAAACCGCTGGTAACTTCGATCCCTCGCATGTCATAAATCGCGATCAGCAATATGAGGGCTCGATGGAACCCTACGAGGATTTCCTGTCGGAACCAGATACCCAATATGTGGAAGTCTATGACAACAACAGACGTGATGCCTTAGAGGTAATCGATGAAATGGAGGATATTTCAGAAGAGGATGTCGAAACCTTTACGGAGGGCCCATCCGTGGCAGATCATTTTGATACGCCCGACAAGTATATTGAAATTGGAAACAGGCAGGCGGGTAAGTTCTACATAAGGTATATCGGAGGGTTAAAAGTAATAAAATGATTTTTTAGGCGATGAACTTCTTCATGAATGCTATCAGACTTCTGAAAATGACTCGGAAAAGCCAGCCAACCACTCGGTGGTTTTCTACTACATCGACAGCAATTGTATAACTTATGTGAAGTTTGTTATTTTGGATGTAAGTATTCTGAAGAAATTGCATTTCGGAAATGTGGATTTAAAACTAGAGCTGGAAAATTATCGATATTTTCGATATTTTGACCATATTGTTTCGATATTGTCGTCCTTTTGAAGGAGAAAAAAAAAAAAAATTGTCTATTGTGGTAAAAATAACCTCTAATACAAATCAAATCAAAAATTCATTTTTATCAGCCAATAAAATTATTTAGAGTTGCTATATTTTCGATAGATACATTTGCGGGATTGGGGTGATAAAATGAAATGACATGTGGTATTTAAAAAGTGTGCAACACAATTTTGTTTAATCCTTCTACCCCACAACAAATCATGGATCATTTAATATCATAATTTTCCTGGAAATATCTTGTCTTAATTGGACTTCTTTGAAGTTGTCTAAATACTATTTACTCCTTTCCTTTCAGTACTATACAAACAAGAACATCTCTGGTGTGGAGTACCAGTCGCCCGTGGCGGAGTACAGTCACTACTCGACTGGCACCCTAAAGGCGGTTGTTACGAATTTCGAGACCAAGACCCTCTACGTCCAGATGTATATCTACGGTTATCGGGGTCGCGAGGCGCCCGCCAGTTATGTGCCTTTTCTGCCGCCTCCTGCGTGGCAGAGGACAGTCCAGCAACAGCTCCGCCCCGGAGCTCCGCACCTGACCCCCCTACAGACTTTACAACTCCTCCTGATGACCGGCCAGAGGTCCACTCCGCCACCGGGAATCTTCAACGAGAGCTTTGAGCCCGAGCAGCAGCGTAGCATCAAGCCAGAGGAGATGATGCTGGAGAGGATCGGCGATGATAGTGGGAATAGTACCTACGATGATAACAATGATGATGAGAAGAATTCGGCCCTAAGGCAGTTGAACCAGGGAATGTCCGCCTGGTTGGGCCTGCTGTTCCTCCTGATCCTGCAGAACAACTAGTGGCCAGGGGAATCATTAGTTAATCCATGGAAAGCTTTATGAGTAGTCTTTAGTCCCAACATTCTGTGTATTGTATTTTACGAAATAAAAACTTTTTGGCCTAAGCCGAGGCACACACACATTTTCTGTGCTTCTTCAGCAAATTGAAAAAGTTGCGGCGAAAGTAGGTCATGGCGTTGGCCCCTGGCCCCTGACCCCTGGAGCCTCCTTCTATAACCAATCCGAACCCAAACCCAAACCCATTCCAAACCGCACCCACAAACACTCTCACATGCGCCAACCCCTACACAGAAAAAAAATGTATATGAAATAGGATCAATTCTACCTTATTTCATATCAATAAAAAGCCGATATGATGTATGTCAACTTTATGATTTAAACATATCAAAATGATATTTTATCATATCCTATTAAATACCAAATTTTGTATTTTGATGTGATATATAAATATATAAATGATATAACTTGATCTTATAAAATTATAAAATTAACCAGCACATATCATTCTGATCTTTTGTTAATTTTTTTCTGTGTAGCCTGCCAACCATAAACCAACTCCCTTGGCAAATTATCTGCGTCGGCGGTGGTTGATTTGGCCCCGGCTGACAAAAGGGAAAGGCGGAAAAACGGAAAATGTGGAAATCCAACTGACGACAGTACCCCAACTCCTTCCCCCATTCGAATGTGTTTATTTGCTTGGACATTAAGTCCAAGACCCAAATGTGTCCTTTGCCTTGGCAATTTATGGGCCTTTGCCTTGTATTTTGTTTCAATGGCAAAAATTGGAAAAGGGCAAATATAACTTTTCGGGGCTCGAGAGGCGAAAAATCAAGAGTGCCATATCCTTTAAGCGTTTAAAATGCTTCACAGGGATATTCCAACTCTTTTCGCCCCGGCGGTTGTCAAAGAAATCTAATAACTTTTATTTCAATTTCCGGATAGCTGTAGCTGGTAGCCACACATCCTTGTGACAGTACACGTCCTGCGGCTGCAATGCTATTTCGTTCGTCCTTTGTTCCATGTCCTTTGCAGATGGCAAGAAATAAGAAATGCGAAATATAAAATACAAAATACGTAATGCTACCTGGGAGTCGAGAGTCTGCAACTGCAGGAGGGGCAGTAAAAATGTCACAGCCACACAGAGGAAGCCAGATGAAACCGTAGAGGGATAATGGTCTCCACCAGGACACGACTGTCCGGCACAAAGGACATGTGAGTGAATGAATGACTGCACCGCAGAGTTGGAGATTGGATACATTTTTACCCTCCGGGCTTCGCTCCCGCTTACCCAACAATATTTATGTTTAATTTATTGTACAACTGTGTGAAATTCAACAATATTTGCAGCACTTGCCGCGCTTCCCACAGGCACACAGAAAAAACTTAAACACAGCGCGTGGAGCCATCTTGTGTGGAATTGAAAATTTCTTTTTATGCGTGGCCAGCGCTTACAAAAGTTTTTTATGCTCAGACATATAATTCAGGAATTATACGAGTGTATACACAAGCGAAAACGTGTTGTTTACACTGGGGGAAGAAAATGTATCTAAATAAATGAAACAAAATTGAATAAGTTTTTAATAACTTGTAGCAATATAACTCAGAAAAAATGATGGTCGATTTTTATATTATTTGGAAATATAGCGCATGATAAAATTTTTATTTCGGGTTCAATCTTTAATAGAAACTTGAATATCTTTATTATAATCATTTTTGGAAAAATATAAGCAAAAAAAACTATTTTTTTTGGACTTGTATCTTTAGCAAACACTTTACTAATTAGTAATTCTGTTTTTTACATTCCCTAAGAATTCCCTCAGTATTACAAATAGAAAGAACATATTTTGCATAAGATATTTTTTTTTATTAGATATATTGTATAAATTTCTTTAAGTAAATAAGTTAAAATCTACTTAATTTAAAATGAATATAAAGAATTAAATAATCATTTTAGATTATCTGAGAACGTCTTTTATAATCTCAAGACACCTTTCTCAGTGCCTGTAATGTAAGTGTGGTTGTGCAACAAGGCGTGGCATTGTAAACAATATGGATAAGCAGCGCACAAGTGTCGTCCGTTTCTGAGCACCAGGCCACATGGACTCGACTCGACTCAATCCAAGGCAAGCCGAGCGCACCCAACCCAATCGCAAAACCCAAACCCAATCCCAATGCCACATACCACATCCCAGAGCAACCGAACGAAAACCCAACCCAACCAACCCAACACAACCCGTCGCCATAAGGGGTGACGTGAGCTTTTGTCAATAACTTAATAACTTAAAATATGGTTTAATGCTCACGTAACAACATTTTGCCACTTGTGCCAAGCACATGTAGGTGTGAAGGGGTTTTTCCGAGGAAGGTTGCTTAAGGTCTCATCGCACCACCCGATTCACCCCTGCAAAGCCAAGAAAATATCCAGCGACCAGGACGACCAGACAATGCCAATGGCAATGGGAATGGGATTCACTGGCAACTGGCAACTTTTATGGGTGTGCAAATGGTTCGGTTCCTATGGCTTACAAGTGTATACACAGGATATAGTCGATATAGCCAGCGTATTCGCCTCCCGGCCTCCTGCGCACGTGCTCCACCTTTTGATCCTTTTTAATGCCAGCCCAAAAAGCGATATCGATTTTTTTTCTTTCCCTGGCATGTTATTTTATTTCTGCCAGCGAAGATGCCTAAAGTCGACTTGCATATGTGCTCGCATTTAAAATAATTAAAAATACAACACGCTTTAGAGCAGGGAGATTACGGGTGCAATATTTCCAATGGTATTTCACTTAATAAGAGTACATATGGTTTTTGCTACTTATGGGAAAAGTTGTATAAGGCTTTTAAATGAGAAAAACCACTTTGGAACTTTTTATAATCGATTTTAATGAGATGTGGGATGTACTAAATTTTATTGCCTAATAAATTTTACAATTCAGAGGTATTTATATGGATATTTATCAATAATTTTTAGAGAAGTTTCGTAGGAAATTCGATAAATACTTTTACAAAATCCTTAAGGACTCTTTTCTAGATATGCATTTTTAAAAATTATTTTCATTAATTATCCCATTTAATTAGTCTTTTTTCTGTATCCTCAGACAGACTTATAGGTTTCGAGAGAGCTCTGAATGTCCCCTCTATGTATATATTCGCCATTACCACAATTTGGTGGGGGCAGTCGCTCTACTGCATCCTTTCGGCTCCAACTGCACACATAATGCATTCCCTCTGTTTTTGTGTGTTTGGAGACAAAACTCAACTCATTAGCGTGTGGCAGAGGCTGCGGAAAGGGGGGCAAACACATTGGGGACCAGGACCAGGACCCCAGCCTCACAATGGGAACACGGGGCGTGGCATGTGCGGCACATGTCTGGCTCACTGGTTTCTGCATTTGAATTTGCATTTTATTAAATTTCAAAAGCTCTTCTCACATGTCCCCATAACAGGCAGCCCCCTTCCCCACCCCCTAACCACTTTGGAGGACCCACCTGAAGCCCCCATTGTTAGACAGGTGGGTTGGTGGGTGGTTGGGTGGTGCAAAGTGGTGCGACACGAGGGTGGTGGTGCCGGTGCCGAGTGCAAAAGGTTGAGCATTGCATATTTATGCACTTAATAACGCATTTTAGCATGCTCAAGTGCAACTCATCTTTTGTTACAATTCCGCAGGAAAAATGAAAGGGGTGGTGGGTTGAAAAACAGATGGGAAATGGGCGAAATTCAGGCGAGACAAAGCGAAATGAGTTTTTCCTCTGTGAAAAGCAGCCAAATGATGTCTGTGCGAGTTGACAAATGGAGCATGAGCGTCGCTGACATGTTCATATGCAGAATCCATTCTCATATTACATGAAAGCCCCCAGTCCCCCAGTGAAATTAAAGAGGATTGTAATCCAAAACAAAAAAGAAGATGAATAAATTTCAATTTATAAGAACAACACTGAGCGAAGAAAAATATTTATTACTTGACTTAACAAAATTTCAATTGAGTGGTTAAAGCAGAATTTGTAAATAAAAAGTCCCTAAAATGAAGAATATAATGCTCATTATAATGCCACAGAAATCGCTGGAATTTTGAAATCACTTTTAGATGTGAATGTAGGTGTCTAAAAGTATGCAACAATATCTTTTAAACTCAAAAGTGTGTTGAATTCATTTAAGAAGCCGACTATTATTTTTTCACTGCATACTCTTAGACATTTATTTTTAATTTTTTGAAACCTCAATATAAAAATGTTTTTAAGTAAACGGAGGAGGAATGCATTCTATTCCATAAAATTTTCATTTACCAAAAATCCAATTTAATCTCCTAAAGTCAGAAAGGGATAAATCCAATTTTTTTGCGTTCAAAAAGTACTCCTACAGGGGAAATGGAAAAACGAAAATCTGCACAAAGTCGAGAGGCGTTCCAATCAAAATCAGAGCCTGGGGACCACAATCAACTTTGGTTCCCCTGCATACCTGCCATTCCTGCATCCCGGCCAGCGTCACTGCCATCGTTTCTAGGATTATGCAATAACAATGGCCAAGCGGTTGCATAATTGATTGATTGAATCCGTATGCAACAATTGGACAGAGACGGTTGCCCAGTTGAGTAGTTGAGTGGCTGTCCGAGTGTGTGGACATGTGGCCATGTGGACATTGCTGTGGGCTTGTGCTGTGTCTTTTGTGACCGACCATTGTTGGCTGAGTGGCAGAGGCGCAAAACACGAAACACAAAATACAAAAACCGCAGTTCCTGGCGAAGGACTCGATCGAAGGCAGTGCAAACAAGCCAACAAACAACGAAATGCTGGACAAACCAATCAATGACACAACTAAAAGCCACAACGTCACCCAAGTGTGAAGAGCCAAGTAGGGATGATTGAGCAGTTAGACACTCGAAAAAAAGCAATTCAGTTTAAGTAGTTTATGTAATAGAATATTTATAACATTTTATAACATTACATAAGACAGAAAATTCCAAAAGATTTTAAAAAACACATGCTTGAGATTTAAAACTTTAGATTAACTTTATTTGAAACCAAGAAAAAGCTGCTTATACCAAGATTTGAATTAATGACTGTAAGAATAAACTAAAAATACATAAATAAGTAGAAAACAGAAACCACAAAGTCTTCGAAA